GCTAGCTCCCTCCTGCTCGTCCCGCTCGGTTAAATTCTACTGGGAACCGAAACAGTAATTTAAGCGAGCACCGCTGCCCCGTCGGTTCGATATAAGAACGTCTCTGACCTGGTCTCCGGAAAACTGCTCTCGCGAGAGGAAAACGCGTCTGGTCCCGTGGATGTGACACGAAAAGGTCGTCGCAAGCTGTTGCGAGATCTTTTGATAGATGCCAATACTGTCATGTTTGTTCCGTAATTCCTGACAAGCTGACAGTCCCCTCTTCCCACTGCGGACGCGCTTTCGTACGGGCGTGTGCGGCAGAATCGAAACTGAATTTCTCATCGCGCGGCTGTGAATAATTACTCTGCGCTGAAAGGGTTTTTCAGGGATTTTTCTCTCGACGCTTTCTTAACACTAGAACTACCACGATTGGGCGAATTTCGGTTTTAACACTAGAACTACCGTACCAGTCAAAATGACTTTCGATTCTTTTGTTTAGCAATTATTCTTCGAAGCATTGAATATTCGAAATGATTTTGAAAATAGTTTCATTTTAGTACTATAATGAATGTCTAAAGGAACTGAAAATAATCTATTGTTACAATTTTTATGAGAATTGCACATTAATCGTATCAAATGCTCGGTAGTTCTACCGCCATCACTGATGGCCGCCGCACCTGAGCTCGTCCGTAAACAAAATGGCGCACGGTAAAGGTCGGCCAGCCCTGTTCTATGCGAACCTGTGCTTTGAAGTGTAATTATTGGTAACAGAGGAATAACATATTGAATTTGAACAAATGGAAGAATATTTATATTTGTTAGATTGTCAAAATCTTCACGAGACAGGTTTCGAGTTTTTTGTTTAGTAATTATTGATATCTTCGAAATCGATTCACTCGAGTTTCTGTGTAATTCGAGAATGATTTAATCGCGGTTCGCGTGAAATCTCGCGAGGAATAGTAAAAAGGCGGACGAAAACGGAAGGAACGATAAGATAAGGGCAGGAAAAAAGTGGGAAGGAAACGCGAGGGAAAGTTGGCTTTATCTTCAGATATTTGTGGCGTTTGATAGCGCCCTATCATAGCTTCTCCGCTGATACTGTCGTGTAACTTTATTGTCGAAAGATGCATCGCTGCTTCGCCATGTATTCCAGATAATTTTTATCTACAAGCCGACATGTTTGGCTACGAACGCGAGTATGCAATTTCTAACCGAGCGTTTCATTTTCCGGGAACGTTTGTTTCTCTAGTTTCCGGTTACTTCGAAATTTTGATGTTTCGAGTGCCTTCTTATTGGCAATGTAGAGTTCTTACGTTTCAGACGAAGAAAATCGATTCTTTTTCTTCTGTATGTGTGTTACTGGATAAAGATCGATTTTTAATGGGGATCTCCGTGGTTTTTAATGATATAAGAATGTTCGAGGGACGAATTGTCTGTTTTAAATTTATTTCCTGAAATTTCAGTGTCTCTGCTGCTTTGTTGAATGACTGAGTTTCATTATTTTACCAACAACACTAGTCAAACCTGTAGTTTCAAGTTAGTTCCAGCAAATAGTGCTTCGGGATCGAAATTCTGACGTTTCGAGTGCCTTCTTATTAGCAATGCAGAGTTCTTAGGTTCCAGATGAAAAAAGTCGATTTTTCTTGACAAGGCACAGAATATCACATGGACAAAGTGGAAACTGCGAGTACATCCGTTCTTTGAGCAGGAGTTTGATAAGTACTGGCTGAGAACGAAGAAACAACAATGACAATGTCCATCTTATTTGGAATGCGGCTGGTCAAGTGTCCTTTCTTAGCTTCTAGATTCTCGAGTGCTTCCTTTATTGGTCTTGCTCGCTAGGAAAGCATTCGAGGATATGGAAACGTATCGAGGAGTCAAGACTCGATCGGTCGATGGGACTTCTATGAATAATAGTCTAATCGTAGTTGTTTGTGAAATAAGTAAATTATTAGCATAAGCATACATTAATTGATTTCTGATTTCTTCTGATTCCCGATTTCTTTTTATACAGTTACTGGGAAGGTACAGATCTTTTCTGAGAAATCGTTAAAGAAGATTTAGTAATACTTATACTGGAATCTTAATAAATACAGTTATAAGTTTTATAGTGAAATTTGGAAAAGTCAGTTTAAGTGCTTGGTATTTCTAATGTTAATATATATAATATATCAAAATCTCTGGTGACTCAACATAAAAGCGCAAAGGTTAATCACTGAATCAAGATCTGAGATTCCTTCGTTAATTATTCTCATACTCAATAAGTTATTGAGTATATAATCTATTTGAAAAATATAAATAGATTGTGTATAATATAATCTATTTGAAAAATATAAAAAGATAAAGAATATAATCTATTTTGAAAAATATGACTCAACACAGAAGCACAAAGGTTAATCATTGAATTAACATCCAAGATTCCTCCATTAAATATTCTCACACTCAATACATTACTGAGTATATAGTCTATTTGAAAAATATACAAATATTCTCACAAATAAACAATTTCCAATCGACGTTTTACTGAAACCTCTACTCGATCCACCGGTCAAATCAATTTTACAAGCAGCGCCGCAACGTTCGAAGCAGTCGAAGACGGAAAATAAAATTTTTACGTGCGGCGGGAGTCGAAAATATGGAGGAAAAAGCTCGGGGATATAGAATAAGACTATCTTTTTTTGCGCGAAGCGTGCGCCTCGAGGAAATCGAGATTGAAAATTAGCGGAGCGAACGTGCGCATGACTGACTCGAGCGAATACGGCTGACATAATCGATAGCAGGTTATTCAACGCGAAAAATGAGCAAAAACTACGCAATGAAATTTGTTCGTCGGAACGCGCTCACAATCGATTTTTTCTCGGACGCGAAATAAAAAACTTTTATTCTAGGTTTTTCACTTAATTACGTATGTAGATTGACCCCTGGCGAATTGGGCCACCCGTGTTCGGCCGGATAAATGCGCGTGTCTACTCAGTGGAGCTTTTATTTCGATTTTTTCGGAAAGAAGCGCGTATCGGCCACTCTAGCTTTTAAGTTTCTGCGGGAACTTCGATGGAAATCGGTTCTGCGATCTGTTTGCTAGTTGTAGTTGGAGAATGTAAGAATTTAGATGTTTTGCTTGAGATTGTAGCAATTTTAGAAAGATGAAAAATCTGTTGGAATATCTTTCGATTCTGAAAATATCGTTACATCATTTTTAGAATTTCTCTATGGGACTTCAAGAGTATCAAAGCTTCGATTGATTTGCAATTCGGTTTGCATAATGAATCAATTTTTTTTAATGATTTTTCAGAGGAACGAGTGAAAACTTGGTAGAATATCTTTCGTTCCTAAAAATATTGTTGTATAATTTTTAGAATTTCTCTGTGGGACTTCAAGAGTATCGAAGCTTCGATTAATTTGCAATTCAGTTTGACTACTGAATCAATTTCTTCAATGATTTGTCCTTTTTAAAAGGAGAAACCATGAACGGGTCAGTTTATTAGTGATTAACACCTGTTACAAGAAGTAATATTACAAATGAAACGTGAATCGTAGCAATCGTCTAAATAATAAATAAATAAATAAATCATCGCTTTAGGAAACAACAGTCGCTGTTCCCAAGAAATTAACAGAAATCAAAATAAAATTATTCGTGTACGTTATAGATAATTAAAACAATGATTCATCAGTCTGTTCAAGTTCCGACAAAGGACATTTTGAATTTCCCGTTCACCTGAGAGAGTTTCCAGTCAGAAACGATCTAGAAACGCATCGGAATCGAAGACACCGATATTTGTAGAGGTTCTCCGATGCGAAAGGTGTACATTGCTATGTCGGGCAAATATTTGCAGCCGAGTATTTACTCCTCGAGGCATTCGATGCATCGAGCTACTTCCGGTCGGCAATATTTTACGGAAGAAATTGAAAGAGCTACAGGCAGCTTCCGTTACGCCGTAATTTCCCGTATCAATTTATCCGATCTGTTTCATCGCGCGATCGTCGCTTTAAACCTTTCGGACGTCGCCGTTTTCACGTCTGGCTTTCGTATTATAAATGATTGATTTGTAATTAGTTTCCTTTTTTCTGATAATTAAGATACTAATGCACAATTTCATTTCCATTGCGAAACGTCTTCGATATTTCGAAAAAATCGATTGTATTTCGAGTCAACGTCGCATTGAACCTTTCGGGTGTCGCCATTTTCACATTTAGCTTTTAATATTATAAATGATTGATTTGTTCGAATTATGAGGGATCGGTGATTAGTTTCCTTTTCTTTACAATTAAGATTCCAACGCACAATTTCATTTCTTTTGCGAAACGTCTTCGATATTTCGAAAAAATCAATTGCATTTCATACGTTTATATTAATATACGTCTCATACACACGTGACATCTTTGAATATATTATCAAGGCGTCAAGAGTTTTCGTCTTGATTGTCTCGGAGACTTCGTCAAAGTGTATGCGAGCTAACGAGCCGATGGAAGCACCATCATCGTTATCGCGATACGTTCCGAGCTAGCTGGCTTCCGGCTATTACAGCGTTTTCGCTTGTGTTGCGTGGCGGAGGGTTCATTCGAACGGTTCCTATTCGTCACGCTCGGCAGATGTTTAACCCTTTCTGTGATAGATAGTTCTCAGATTGTTTATTGTAGTATTTGAAGAAACTAAGAATAAACTGTTACAATTTTTATAGGGTTTGCATGAATCGTAGTAACCCTATACACTAAATAACTCGGAAGCGCCAGTCATCGGTGACTGACATGGCAGTTAACATGTTAAGTTTGTTATACTTTCAATTCTATTAATACACTATACAGTGCACACGAATTAATTATTTAACATTGCACCACAACATTTAAACCACATTTATTTATTTAACCACCACAGCATTTAAACCACATTTATTTAACATTGCACCACAACAAGAGATTCGAGGATCTCAAGAAACAGCGTACTTTCGATTCGTTGCGAGTTGCACAGTGCACTAGTCGCATCCGACGAAGAAATTAACAGGTGTCCTATTTGTTCGCAGATCGGAGCACTCAGGGAGTACTTCCTATTCGCCGATAAACGGCTGCACAAGAGATCTCTATCGAGCAGCGAGCCGCATCACAGATCGCTGCGGGATGAGCCGAGGGTAAGTGATTTCTCCTGCGGAGCGGCGCGTGTTTATCAAACTCTGACGTCCTCGCGGGCTCAAAACACCACAGCCACGTAATTTCACGGCGTCTGTTCTAGTACGACGCCCATTGTTTACTCGGCATTCTAATTTTCCCGTGCTCGTGAACACCAGACGCGAAACAAACGACGGAGTCACGCAGTTACATCATGTCGCGCTGTCGGCGTAATTCAACGGGAGTATCCCCGTTTTCTTGGTGGAACTCGATGATTTTGAGAGTATCAGTGATGGGTAGTGTTGTTTGTTAATGGTGTAGTTGGGGTATTTTGTTAATTTTGTAATTGTGGCGCATAGTGCGGTGAAACGGGTGTTTTATGGACGAAATTTGAAGAGTTAGGTTGTAGGAGTCAGTGCACTGTGCGGCCGAATGGCCGTTTTCTAAACGGAATTCGATGATTTTGGAAGTATCCGTGATATTCAGCGTAGTTTGTTAATGTTTATTAATGCGTTGGATGCCATGGGGTCACCAATGACGCAACTAAATTGAATCACTATGATTCACTCAATGAAACTTCTCTCATTTCGTGTATTTTGCTTCGGGAAATCGTGCAGCGTTCAATTTGTTAACTGTGTAACTATATTTTGTTAAGTTTTTAGTCAGTATGATTCACTCAATGAGACGGTAATTATTTGAAGACATTTCTATATTACAAATAATGCTACAATTTTGTGACAAAACGTGACAATAGAATTAAACAATAAAAGAAGAACAAGCTTATTAACCAAACTTTGCATTCTGCAGTATAAATCTACATTTTCTATAGAACATATTGAACAATAAAATAGCTTTGTGATCGTATCATTATCACTAACTAATACGAAATGCAATTAAAGAACAAGCTTATTAATCAATCTTCGCATTCCGCAGTATAAATCAAAGAAAATCTAAATCAAGCTCCAGTTTCTATAGAAAAAACACATCCATATTAAACAATAAAATTGCGTTGTGATTGTATCGTTAACAATGATTGATGCGAAGCGCAATTAATCGCGGTCTCAATACTTCTCTCCAAGAGCCTCGACACACGTGACGCTACGACCGTGACACATATCGCCGCGGAACGCGAGCGGAGTTCAGAAACTTTGGAGGCTGGCCAATTTTCAGAAGCTGTGAATTTAACGGATGACCAGGAGATCGCATGTTTCATGTTCCACGGAGCCGAAGTCCTGGTCGCAAAAATGTTTCCCCGTTTCTATGGCACATAGCTTACTGTCTGCCGTACACCACCCATTTCGCGTGAAATCGCGCAGAATATCTCGTATAGACACCGATTGTCTTCGGTCGCGCAGAATTTATGGGTGCCCCGTGGAATTAACGCTATTTCAGTCCTCCTGCTCAAATATTTATTATTTCTTCACTCTAATCGAACTAATTACACCACGATGTCTCTTAGTCACTTATTAGAGTAAAAGGAATTATTAAAATGTCGTTGTTTTTGTTCAAAGAGTCCAAATTTTAACAAACTTTTGGAAATGCAGTATGAAATAATCAAAGACATCGTGATCCGATTAGGGTTTCTTTGGACTTCTATCTATGAAACACTATTAAAATTGTAAAATCGCTGAACCAGCGACACAGAAGTAGATCGACTTAGCTTCGACTTATCGCGTATCGCGAAACAGCGTCGAAATATTCATAATATAAATCGTTTAGTGCTCCAAGAAATTCTGCGCGAACGCTTCTAAAGGATGTTGCCTTCTTGTCGTTGAATTAGCGTCGGTGCCCATAAGTTTGGCATTCTAAAACGGTAAGGGAGGATCGTGTGGGGTTCAAGCTACGGCCAGGACTTTAGGAATTTCCCGGACACGTCACTGGCGCAACCCGAGGACGACCGTTGCGTTGGAGGCGCGTGTTCGTCGAACGAACGGCGGAAAAGACGACCGCCCCTTGCCGATCGGCAGAATAAGAAGCAACCGATCAGGGAATTCATCCGCGTCGCTACTCCTCCGGCGCCACTTTAAACAGAGTTGTTTCCAGCCGGAAGGCCAAATTTTTCAAAGTACGGACCGACGACGGAGATTTCTCCGGGCGACTCCTGTAATTTTAACGATCACGCTCTCGTGTATTATATCGTCACCTGTATTATCATTCGTATTGTTGCACACTTTTCTGTTCGATTTTCTACTCAATTATATGTAACTTTATACAGCGCACTTCGAATTATTTATTCAATATTTCCTGGTGCACGAACAGATACAACTACTTTGTCGTTAGTAATTTATTAGGAGGAGAACAAATGTGGATGTTCGTCCTGTGCGTATGTTCACTCCAAAGGTTAACGATCGATGATGGAAGAGTAACACTTATTTTCACGTCACATTAGACGTGCGCCGTCAAATATATGGTTCGTCAAATAGTTCAGTAATTAGAAAACATTACCGTATAGTTGGAAATTCATTTACTCATCGATCATTTCAATATTTCCATCAATTTCGAAGATCGAAAATACACGATGAATGCTGGATTCGTGGAAAACTCTGCGATGCTCGCTTAAATTTCACAGTTTCGGGCATCGACAGTATTCAAGCGAGCACAGGACAAAGGAAGATATTTCTTCCAGATATTGACTTCGTCATATCGTTGTACTCAATTATACGTAACTTTATACAGCTTGGAATTATTTATTCAATATTCCGGTGCACAAACAATCTCCTATGAACTCTTGAACCGTTCCGGCAAATTTGTTGTAAATATACGTTGCAGAGAGTGTAATGGCTCCGTTATTTCTCGAGCAAACCTCTTGACTCCCGTTCCATCCGTAATCGAAGTGCTTTATCGTTTAGAAAAAGCGAGTAGCTGGGAAGATGGGTCAATCACAATATTATCTTTGGGAACGCGGTGATATTCTACCATGTTTTCGTTCTTAAAGGAAAGCTCCGTCGACGGGTCCAGATGACCCCGGGATGGCCGCTTCAGTTTCAATCCCTTGCTCCACGTAAAAGCTCCGTCATTTTTTCTCGATCGGTCAAACTTATGGATGGTTTCCGCTGAATTGCTTACATTCCACAGTGTATTACAGCTTCACAAATTTATGAAGTCCAGGTTCTTTACATAGTTTAGTACAAATTTAGTTTCAGTAACAATTATTCAATTGTTAGTCAATTTAATTTAGAATTTCGTACATTTCGTACATTTAGTTTCGTACGTTCTTTTTTTTAGTTGAAGTCTGATGGGGATGGAAGAATCGATGTTGTAATATTTTGAACGAAGTGATTTCAATCAATCACCAGTTATTTTTACTTTTTGTATATTTTTTTTATTATTATTTATTTTTTATGTAGTTTTATACGACGTTTTGTTAGATTGTAAGAAAATTATGAAGTAGACTGAATCGATAAAGTTGCAACATTCTGAACTAAATAATTTAGATAGCACAACAGTTCGAACAAAAATGTGTGTCTTCAAGTTACTTTTACTTTTTGTATATTTCCTTATTATCATTTATTTTTTATATATTTTTATACGACGTTTTGTTAGATTATAAGAAAATTCTAAAGTAACATTCTGAACTAAATAATTTAGATAGCTGAACAGTTCGAACAAATTAAACGTGTCAAAGTTACTCTCATCTCTTCCACTAATCTCAACCAGTTAATAAAATAAAAAAATGGAGCGTGTCGAAGGACGAATACTTAGAGTATATTTTAATAAAATAAAAAATCGAAACAAAGAATTACATATTTATATGAAAACCTAAAGAATTCACGAAAGAATTAACTCGTCAAAATTAACTAATTAAAACCCCCAGTTCCCATTCTCCCCAATTTCAGAAAAGAAACAACAAACATTTCTCCTTATACAACAGAAACACCGACCTTGCGATAATTAGCGTCGCGCCCGAATTTCATTGGATGTTTCAAGGATTACGCGGGTGTTAATTGGACCCTGGAATAATTGATACTCGCGTATCGATTGTTCCGCGCACGCACGTCACGGTAATTGGAAGGTATGCGTTCCGCGAGCCATTGAAAATTATTGTATAGAGTGGCCAATAATTGACACACTTGATTCCGCGCGTTCTATTAACCTTAACCAACGCTCGGAATTATACACGCGCCGACAAAGGGACTCGCTCTGTATGCATGAACTGTCGTTTCGAATATGCGACGGCTTAAATTCTTTGTTACATAAGAATTTTAAATCCCCCCCTCCGATTTCCATTACAATAAGAGCGCGCGACCCTTTGCGAGAGTATCTAAACGATTCTTTTGTGCGAAATGCTGCGCTTTAGGCCGCTTTAAATCGCGATCAAATTACGAATCGAGTCGAAACAAATACGGAACTGGAGCAGGTCCTGAAGGAACCGACGTGATTATGAAAATTGCTTTCGGTGGAGGATGGAGAATTTTTTATTCGGTGAAGATTGACCTTTTGCAGTCCTATGTCGAGATTCGACGTTCTGTTTTATTGCAACGTCTACTTGTGATACTAAAAATAGATATAGAAAAAACTGTTAAAACAAGTCAGACTCGACATTCTGCTTTATAACAAACTCTACTTGTTTTAACAATTTTTTCTGTATTGATTTGTAGTATCACAATCGTGTCAGACTCTGTTTTATTGCAACTTCTATTTGTTTTGACAGTTTTTTCTGTATTTATTTGTATCATAATTGTGTCAGACTCTGTTTTATTGCAATTTCTACTTGTTTTAACCATGTTTTCTATATTTATTTGTATCACAATTGTACCATTTGAAGGTAACATTTCAATGACTACCAAATATTCTTGAATAAATATATAGAGCGTCGTATTAAAGGGTTAACCCTTTGACGAAGATTCTTCGAAATATACGAAACCTTCAGCAGATGAAGTTAAATTATGTATCGATTGCTTAATTGATAGGAAGAGAGGAAATTATACACTGAGCTCTTGCTGATTGAGTAATTGAATCATTTGTTTGCGAGTTATTTTTGCAAATATGGACATTTGATCTCTTAACCCTTGCACTCGAGAGGTTACCACTTGATTTGACACGGTGAAACTATAGAGTATGATATTTGGACTGTTTATTTTGAAAGTGATGTAAGTCGATTTATTAAAGAAAATGAGATATCACGTTGTTGTTGTTGTTGTTGTTGTTGTTGTTATAACGATAATAATAATAATAATAATAATAATAATAATAAATATTTGCCACGTAAACACTCATCAAAACTTCCATATGAAACAGTTTTCTCTATTAACCAGAAACTGAGAAATCAAGATTCTTCTTAATAACTGCTGCACTATCTTTCTTATATCTCTTATATCCAACAAAATTCGGTTCGATATGTTATGAAAGAAATGTCCACGTTTCTGTAAAATATAATGTCACCCGAATTCGGTTGACGTGGCAGTCAAAGTGTCAAAAGCGCGATCGCGTTTCCGAATCCGAGTGTCGCAGTGAACAGAAAAATCTGCTGTTGTTTCCGCAGGTGCGATGGTTCCAGCAGCAGCACGAGAAGAGGCGCAAGAAGAGGGACTTCGTGCCCACGTCGTTCGCGTTCGGCGATTACCCGGCGTTTTTCGACGAGTTCGGCCCCCGTGCTAGGCAGGCCACGTACCACCGACAAAGAAACAGGGAGATACCCTTCCAGAACCTGTTCACGGATCCGCTCTTTAAGGAACAGTGGTACCTGGTAAGTGGACCCTTCGATTCTACTTCCGTCGAATCAACCAAAACGGACTACGTGACGCGACTACGTCGCGCCCGGTGTGCCAGACTTAACGACACTCGATAACAGTTATAACGTATTCGGGATCCAACTGCCGCCATTTCCTTCGAGGGATTTTCCTTCGTGATCGGACTGTCCATGCGCGGCGAACCGTTCGCGTAACGCGGTCGAACTTATGGGAATTCGCGTGTTTGCTCGGTATTTTCGGAAATTTGGAATAAAGGAGCGAGCTGTTTTGTTTGTTATGGTTGTGGTTATAGACTTTTTGAGTGGTTGTTGTTGTGGTGGTTGATGTAGTCGTTTAATCTAAGGAAGATCGAGGTAAATACGATGGAAATTGCGGAGCGAAGCGGGTGAAGATGTGGAAATTGTTATGGGTTTGTTAGGTTGTTGTGGGAATCAGTGTAATGACTGTTTGTATCATTTCGTAGAGCTTCTCTGTTGTTGATCCAATAGGTCTTTGATTGTTTCTAATTGTTATTTGCCTCCAGCACTTGTTAGATCCAAGCGAACGCGACGAATTCGTGACTAGTTTACAATACGTTATTCGGAGTTTCACGTTTAAATGGTAATATAAGCTTGAAAATTCAAACGTGTTAATTATTATTAGTCTCCTAGATACCTAAATTCATTATCAATATACTTCAGATATTGTATTTTGTTCATTTATCGTATTTACTTCGAAATCCTTCGAACAAGGCTGTTATAATCAAACCATATCTACGCTAACAAACATCATTTTTACACTACAAAAACACAGAAAATAACATTGAAACATTTATTTACAAGTATTCCTATTTCCAAATAATCTTCCTTAAACCAAGAAATACAATATACAATACAAAAGACGTGAAAAAATTACATTACAATATAAAAAATATCGCTCACACGAAAATTCAAATCTCAGAACAATTGCTCCAATTCCGTGCCTGGCGCGACCAAGCAAAGATCCTCATTGTCATCGACTCACTGATCTCATCAGTAGTTTGTACAATTGCTCGATTCGTTATGTGTCGACCGGTAGAACGACTAAATCATCGAATAACGATTCGACCGACATCCGCGCGATCGGAATCACGAGAAAGGGCGTGCTTGTTCCGAGCGCGGAATCTTGTTTGCGAACGAAAAACATCTCATTGTTAATACCGGGACCGTATATTCCGGCAGGCCGTTAATTCTAGAAACGACAAGAGCAGCGATCGCCGTTGCCTACACGCGAAAACGATCGTTCGAGGAAACGTGTAGAGAATTATGATCAGCACGAAAAAGGACGGCCCCCGGCCGTGTCTGAGTTTCTGCCTCGCATCGGACAGAAGAAAAATTCCTGTGTACGATTATCGACGCTGCTTTGGAATATTATTTATTGCAATAGTGCAAGTTGTCAGATGTGCTGGGTTTGATAATTATAATGCATTTTAACATAGAGCGCCGGCACCGCGATAATGCGGACTTTTAGTCTATCGTTCAATTGCTAATCCTACGTTCGTGTAACATTTTAGATATGTGTAACACGAATTCGAAGTGAAATTTACAAAATCGAATTCCTTATTTTCTTCCGTGAGTTAGAAATTTTCATTTAATCGATGTTTGAAAGTGTGTGTTTCTAGTAGCTGAAATTTAGCTGGCATTCAATGTGTTAATTTAATCCTTTGCACTCGAGAAGCGACTTTTGATCGTTTGACTCGAGACACTGGAGTTATGAACGTTAAAATTTAATATTCAATTTTGTATTAGTGTTATCAGTATTGTTGATATTTCAATGGAAAGTGATGAATGTTTGTAGTGAATGATATTGTCGAGTGCAAAGGGTTAAACCTGAGATTTTCTTATAGAAAAAGATTTTTAGTTTTCTTTGTTAAACATTGCATGAGATACTGTAGAAAATTAGCAATATAATTGATGCAAAATCTTGCTCTAAGTAGGTGGCAGACAATATTAATATTTCCTCAGAAAATCATGAAAGTATTGTCGTTTATTTCACCCAAGGAAACATAGAAATAAAACAATTCTTCCCATAATTGATGAAAGATCTTCCTCTAAGTAAGTGACAAACAATATCAACAAATTGCGTACTGGCTAATTATCAGAAAATTGAATTGTGCAGATTTTCAGTGAGATCCACTTATATCACTATCTATAAAAAAACTCAGCTATCATATTGTTATGTAATATATTTTAAATAGACAATTAGATCTAATCAAATTCAATATTTCCTTAAGTGCTGTGGTAATTATCAAAGTTATATAGCTAAGAGTCTTTACATAAAAACGAGATTTCTCGTTACCAGTACGCAATGTGTTAATATTTTCTCAGAAAATCATGAAAGTAATGTCATTCAATTCCCCCAAAAAAGCATAGAAATAAAACAATTCGTTCCATAATTCAAGATCTTCACGCAAGTCACAAATAATATTTTCTCAGAAAGCAATAGAAAGTAATTTCCTTCAATTCACCCAATAAAACATAGAATTCGTCATTCGTTTCACCCAAGAAAGCATACAAATAAAACAATTCTGTCCCACAATTCAAAATCGAAAACACTAAAAATAATTTCCTCCATTCCCCAACAAAACCCACAAGAGAACAGCACACATAAAATTTCCCTGCATTGTCTCCTAGAACGGCGGAGCCAAAGATGGCTACGACATGTAAAAACAATAAAACATAGAAATAAAACAACTCGCCCCATAATTCAAGATCTCCAAGGAACTCGCAAACAATATTCCCTAAAAACAAAAGTAATTTCGATTCACCAAATTTCCCTGCATTCTAGAACGGCGGTGCCAAAGATGGCTACGACATGAACCTCGGCCCAGCGTGGCAGAAGGGCTACACCGGCAAGGGTGTCGTCGTGTCGATCCTGGACGACGGCATACAAACGAATCATCCCGACCTGGCACTGAATTACGACCACCAGGCCAGCTGGGATATCAATGACAACGACAACGACCCGATGCCAAGGGACAACGGCGACAACAAGCACGGGACTCGGTGCGCCGGCGAGGTCGCGGCCGTTGCTTTCAACCAATACTGCGGCGTCGGCGTCGCCTACAATGCCAGCATCGGAGGTAAGAAACCCTGATTCTTCCAACAACCGGAAACACCGGCGACGCCATGTTCCCCGACAAACGAGCAGACTTCGATTCGCAAATAATCGTATGAAACGCGGCTCAATAATGTCTTTTCATTGATAATCTTGCATTACTATTAGATTACTTCGAAATGTTGCACTCTATACACTAACAAGATTAGTGTACATAGTGTAAAATAGGTAAAAACATTCATCGCAGGAGACTGCCAATTTCTGAATTCATTTCCAGGATAGTGAATATTCAGTTTTCTGTAATATATCGATACGTGTAATGAAGTCCAGCTTTGTTCCTTGATTTGTATGTACTGAATGAAACGATGATTATTCGCAAACATTTCTATATTATAAATAATGCTATCCATTGCGGCGATGAACGTGCAATGATAATAATCCAATTCAGTCGAATGATTTAATATTGTATTTTTTCTATTTTGTGTATTTTGCTCTATGAAATCGTGCGGTGTTCAACGTGTTAAATAATTGCAGCATTCAATGGACTGGAGTTATTTCTGACGTTTCATGAATTTCACCGTTGTTTTTCTGACTGAAATGACACTAGTGTTAATATTCGGTTTTCTATAATATATCAGTACATGGAACGAAGTAAAACAGCTTTGTTCCTTGATCTGTATACTATGAATTAACCCTTTGCACTAGAGGGGTGACCTTTCAGTCACCACTTGATTTGGTTCGCAAAATTATAAAGTCTTATGTATATTAAACTTTGCATCATGCATCGATATACGGGACATTGAAATAAAATAATTCTTCTTAATTCATGTATGTTTTCACGTTAATTCATTTCCAGTGAAAAATTTTCGAGTAAAGGGTTAAGTATCAAGTTTTATAGTTTTACTGTGTGAAACCAATTGGTGAGTGAGAGGCACCTCTATTTCTCAATGATCGATACAACTACTTAGATATTAATGATTAAGAAAGAATAGAATGATAAGCATATTCTATGTCAATCTTTACTATGAAGTATAATAATTCATAACAAAAGAATATTTAATTTTAATTCAGAAGAAGTAACATTCGTGTGTTCGATCTCTAAAATAAAAATTGTTAACATAAAAATCAATATAGAGAAAATCAGTTTAGAATATTCCAATGCTTTGAATAGGCATTCATCAATCTATTCTCACAAATACATCAATTCCCACAATATCTACAGTTTTTCCCTTTTTCGAATAAATTGTTAATGGCAAGGTGACCGTATCGATCAGAGTCGAGAAAGAAATAGGGCAAGGGGTCAACCCCTTTGAAATTTCAATAGAGTGTAACTCAATTGTTTCTGATTCACTACAAACGAGTGAATTTTAACTAAGGAATATTCTTCACTAATCATCAAAGTATCAATTATCATTAAATAATATCTTCCTAGTCAACCTATGACTTAATTGAATCTAATCTAGATCTTAATTTTAGATTAGAATTTAAAATACTATACTAGATTAGAAAATTCTAATTTAGTATCTAAACCGAGATTTACAATGAAATATATCGTACTAAATATTTAAATAGAAAGCTATCTTTATTCCAACTAGTGATTTCGTCAAAGAAATCTCCAATGACTTCGGAATAAAATACTATACTAGATTAGAAAATTCTAATTTAGTATCTAAACAGAGGTTTACAATGAAATATATCGTAACAAATATTTAAACAGATAGTTATCTTTATTCCAACTAGTGATTTTGTCGAAGAAATCTCCAATGACTTCGGAATATCGATGATTCATCCGATCCCATAAATTCCCTGGTAAATATTCCCGGCGCGATTGCATTTAACCGCACTGATCCGTTATAGTGGTCAATTTATTAAGGCAAATTAATTTTACCGTTATACAGCAATTCGATCACATTAATTTCAGCTGATCGCCATGGTGTTCTGCTCTATATTTGCGCGAACGCTGATTCGCCCGTAATGAAACCGCACGAAAATTTTGTAATCGCCTTATACGTTCGCGACGGAATAACGAGCACTGTTTTACAACGTTTGTTCAACCTTTGCACTCGAAAAGTATATTAATAGAACTATTCGACATTTTCGGAGCAACTTAACATTGCACACTGATAACTCATATTACTGATGACACTAGAAACTAATAAAACTCATATAATTGATAATACTAGACTAGAAACTGTAATTGCCCTATATTTCAGTGCAGATATTAAACCAGCTTCAACAATCCCCATTTACACTTTCACTAATTACAAAAGAACAAATGATTTCAAGTGTTAATATACACCTCGATTAAATAAGAAACCGAACAATAGAAAATCTGTTTATACGCGATGAATTGACGATACAGTGATATAAATTTAGATATTAATTAATCTATTAATCTACTCGCACTGAATTGCCAAATATAGAATATATAAAACATAACAGCAATAAAAACAGCACTAGTTCAATGAAGTAGTTACACAGATTCAAATCAAGTAAACCAAAATCAACTCGAAACACTTCCAATTAATAGTTAATAATAACTACAGTACCTTTAACACTAGAACTAATCAGTAAAATTGATTCTTCTGCATTTTCTAATAAAACTTAATAAATAGATTTTTATAAATACTCAATAAATCTATTTATTTCGTTTCCAATTCCCTTATATTGTAATTTGAACAATTTCTCTGAAGATCTTCGTGCCTTTCCTCTAATTACGAAAGAAGACACTCAAAACCATTCATTCTGACTCACCTGGTAGTTCTAGTGTTAATTAACCCTCAAAAACACATAATGAAATTCCTCTATAATTCCCCACAGTCAATTTTCCTAAAGAAACCTCTTCAAAATGAAACATCTTATCTTATTCCCGATTCCTCGAATCACATCAGACTTAATTGCACTCGACTCATTAGCCAGTACTTACACGAACCCATTTTTCCGCGTTTAATCATTTGTCGCCTTAATCACCGTCGACCTTCCCTTGCCGAAACAATTATTAAACCGTCAATCACGCAGTGATTATAAGTCGGGCGCGCAAGTTTTTCCGAGCGATATATCGGATTTCGATAATTCCTCCGGCTCGTTTCCATTAAAACGGCTGTCAACAATCCGCCGGTCGATTTGGCTCGCGCGGGAAACCTGTAGCTCGCGGCTAGAAAAATCT